CTTTTCATCAAAGAAGCACCCTAAGATACCTTAATGGGCATATAGAGAAAAACACAGTGAGTTCACACAGCCTGAACCAAGCTGCAGTCAGAAACTGAAAACATTTAACAAACTCATCAAAACACTTGAGAGTTAGCTGAAAGTAAAGAGAGAAAAGACGGCTAACAAACTTTAGAGGACTTGAAACGCAAAGAGGGGGGAGTCCTTGGTCCAAGAGGTTTTACCTGGAGACAACTCCAAGAGCTGGGAAAGTGGATTGAGCGTGCAAAGGGCTTGTACAGGTGCCGATGTTCCACAGTCCCCTCCTGGGATTGCCTAGCAGGGAAGTTACCTTTGGATATGTTGTACAGAAAGTCTTGAACCCTGTTTTAAGTTAAAACAGAGAGGTTTATTAAGGGTTTAAAACAAATGCAATTGGAGAACTACACAGCCCATTGAAAATAAAACCAGGTAGTCCAGTGGAGATTTGTTATACAAGTATTCTTATGGGGTTAAAAAGAGGAACCAAACCATAGGGAGGGCAATTACAGGAAAATCAATGAATATTGTAATAATCACATTCTGATTGGTTACTGATTATTAATCATTGTAATTAGTGATTACAGATAGTTTCACAGGATGCTTAGACCATGGTCACGAGATGCTTTCATGTATTTTGTCTATCTTGCAAAAATACGTTGTTGGGAACAGCACCCAGGCAGCACTCTTCCCGAGTATGTGTAGTTTAAGAGGTGCAGATGGTCATTTAGTCAAGACCCCTAGGGGCATATGGTTTCACATCCTGGTTTTGACCACCAAGGAAACACGTTTTTCCCAAAAAACATAGCTGTTAGTCTAGAAATCCAGACTAAAATTAGTTAGCATGGTCAGCATATTATACCTCTGTCCTGCTGACTGCACTGAAACTTTTCTTTTCCTAAGACACCATGAAACTGGCGAGTTGATACAAACTTGGAGTCCAGCTGCCACAAACCTTCACGTCAGTGTGACTTTGCTTACCAGCAACCACAGATGTAGGAGGATGGCTTCTGTTTCACTTCCTTCTTCCAGATTGAGCAGGATCACATCTGGTTGGCAGAACTCAATTTGCTTTCAAATGCTAGATGCAAAATCACCTGGAAAATGTGGTTTTTAGGATTTTAATTTTTCTAAAGATAATATACAACGGAAGTTGAGAGAGCCAATCATAATATCTACTATAAAACCAAAAAATCAAAGCCACTGCTGTTGAGTCGATTCTGACTCATAGTAACCCTACAGGACATAGTATAACTGCCTCATAGGGTTTCCAAGGCTGTAAATCTTCACAGAAGCAGACTGCCACATCTTTCCCCTGCAGAGAAAGGTTAGAAGTGTCGAACTTTTTGGTTAGTAGCCGAGCACTTTAACCACTGCGCTATGTGACCTTGGGTAGGTTTCTTAGCCTTTCTGATCCTCCCTCTCCCCATCTATAAAATAGGGATCACAATAATACTTTGTAGAATTAAATGAGGTACGGGAAAGTGCCTGGCTAGTCTTACATGCTCACTCTATGACACCAGCCATTATCACTGTTTTCCCATTCTGAGGTATGGTGAAAGAAGATGATCAAAAGTTTCATAAGTAAAAAGCAAAGAAAAGTAAGATAAACCAGGAGGGAAGAGAGAATTTGGAGGAAAAAGCAGGGGCGTGGTTCCTTTATATCTGGTATCTCCTCAGTGGCAAGAGATGGGAAATAAAGATTTGAAAAAAATTATGTAACATACTAAGTACTGTATAGAATTGCTGACTTTCATCCAGTTAGAGAATTTGGAGTTGGAGGGCTTGTTCTTGTCTACACATTTAATATCATGTTAAAATGAATATGAAAATGCTATGAGAGTCATAAAATGAGGCACTATCATATCATCTTTATACTGTAAGCTCCTTGAAAATTTATGTCTTCTCTACTGTTGTACCTTCAACAGTTAGCACGTTTTTGGAGCTTAGCAATGTTTGTTGAGTGAAGTTATGTGCATCATCAGTTAGTTATTAAAGTTACTAGCTTCTTTCTTAACGTACCTTAAAGTCATTGAATATTACAGCCCCAGAGTTTGTGGATTCAACCATGTGCTGGTTACTACCCTTCGGTGACCTTTTATCACCTTCTGGGGCAGGATTTCTCAGTGATGACACTTGATATTTTGGGTCAGATAATACTTTGTTGAGGTGGATTGTCCTGTGCATTGCAGAATGTTGAGCAGTGTCATGGATTGAATTATGTTCCCCCAAAAATGTGTTTCAATTTGGCTAGGCCATGATTCCCGGTATTGTGTGGTTTTCCCATGTGTGGTAAATCCTGCCTCTATGAAGTTAATGAGGGAGGATGGGTGGCAGTTGTGTTAGTGCGGCAGGACTCAATTTACAAGACTGGATTGTGTCCTTAGGCAATCTCTTGAGATATAAAAGACAGAAATGACCAGTGAGACAGGGGGACCTCATACCATCAAGAAAGCAGTAGCGGGAGCAGAGCGCGTCCTTTGGACTGGGGTCCCTGTGCAGAGAAGCTCCTAGTCCGGGGGAACACCGAAGAGAAGAAGGCCAACAGAGAGAAAAAGTCTTCCCCTGGAGCTGACGCCCTGAATTTGGACTTTTAGCATACTTTGACTGTGAGTAAATAAACTTCTCTTCATTAAAACCATCCACTTGTGGTACTTCTGTTACAGCAGCACTTGATGACTAAGACAAGCAGTATCCCTGGCCTCAGTCCACTAGATGCCAGTAGTATAACCCTAGTTGTAACAACAAACATTTTTTCTAGACATTGCCAAATGTCCCCTGGGTGGGACAGAAGTGTCGATGGTTGAGAACCACTGTTGTAGAGTAAAACATAACTAGATCACTGCCCTTAGAGCTATCCACTGTCTTGTAGCCGGTAGCTTCCCTTCCAGTTAGTATAATCTTCTTTTGCTGCTTTAGGATCTGGCTAACTTGGTTCAAGTTGCCCTAATGTCACTGGGAAAATAACAACCACCACCATTACCTCCAAAAAACAAAATAAAACGCCTGAACTTTCCCGCCAGTTGCCCTACTCACTTTCTTCAGTGAAGTTTCCTAGTGAAATATCCTTCATTTTTCAACTACGCTCTGCAACTCTGACCTATCTTTTCCCTCAATGTTTGGTAAACGGTTGTTTACAGGCCCTAACAGTATAACTGATTTTATTTCTGTGGTTTCTTCTACACTTGCACTTCACACTAGGACAGGTGAACCCCCAGAGTTCATGCCATATAGGACGTCTTGAAAGCTACAGGATAAATGTGCACATCTTCTCTGAGTATCAGTTTTTCTCAAAGATTTTTGGGAAAATATGAAATAATTTATCCACAAATTAATTTAAAGCATACTTACATTAAAACAAACATGATTTTTTAGAGATAATACAGTAGATTTCAAAGACATTTCTTGCTCATAGGTAGTTCCTCTAAATGAAAGCATTTACTCTCCTCTGCTCTAGGGGCTCTTGGTTCATCACCCACAGGCAGCCTCCTACTGGCACCCAGAACAGGCATGTATTCGTCATTTTTCATGTAGAAAAGAAAGAGGAGAGCCAACTGGAAAACCAAAGACAAATGTATGTATAAAGCTGAGAAATATTCCTGAGTGGCTTGGCAGAAAGGGCGATTTTACATTCCTGAGCTTTTCTGACTTTGGGATTCAATGTCTGCAAGGAGTCCTGTATGTCACGTTGGGTATCCTCCTAGTCACTCCGTTTGTGGTTTGAAGTGATGATCTAAAGGTTGGGGAGAGGAACATGCACAGATCGGTACAGCAGAGCAGTGAGATAGGGAAGTTTCCGTCTCCTCCCTGGTCTCCAGCCAACTGCTTAGGCACACACACACTTGCTATCTTCCCAGTGCCTGAATCACCTTTGTTCCTCTTCCTGCCCAGTCTGCAGCTGCCAGACTGAAGCCAAATTCAGTAGACACCAGCTGGGACCCCACCTTGCATTTGAATTACTTTCTTTGAAATTTGCCACGTCCAGGTTTACTGGCCTGTGTAGTGTTTTCATTTCCTTATGCTGCACATGGGTAGGGCCAGAGCCTTTCTTCTCGTGCACTGCCAGTCCTCTGAACTAGAATACTTTGAATCGAGTTATCTGGAATCTAGTGCTAGTATCAAGCCTCAGGGAATGCAAGAAGAGCCAGAAGGTCAGGCTAGAGGCGAAGTTAGTCATTCTCCACATTTGTGGGCTCATTTTGGCCCCTGCAATGCTAGGGCCCTTCAAATAATGCAAAATCAGACTCCTTAAAAGGCACTGCCATAGGTTTCCTGGAATTCATTATAAAAGTCGATGACCCAGGCTCTGTGATCCTAGATTTGGAAGCGACGGTTTTTTTCCTACGGGAAAGGTCAGCCCATAGTTCCTTCCAGCATCCTCGGGTACCACTAGGATTTCTGGGAGATTCGGGAGGGCGCAGGAGGAGACACTGGGGTTCCGCGGAGGGTAAGATATGACATCTACCCACTCTGGGCTATGTCTCTTCCTTTCCTCTGAGGCGGCGGACCCAGCCAGGACAGCGGCGCAGGTCCGTCCCTCGCGCCCATACCCGGCCCCTCGCGCCCAGGCCCCTCGCGCCCAGGCCCCGCCCCCTCGCCCGGGCGTCCAGGGGGCGGGACCTGGACGGGGCGAGGCCTGCCGCCGGCGCTGCAGGAGCGTAGCGGGATGACGCGGCTGACGCGGCGCGCCGGGCAGTAGGCTCGCTGCGTGTGCCTTCCAGGCCCGCCCGCCGCCTCGGCCCCGCCCGCCATCTGCCTGTCACTCTCTGGCAGCGCGCTGGGCTGGGCTTGCGGAGGCCGCCGGACTACTCGGCGCACGCCCCTTCTGCCTCCGGCTCCCGTTCCTCCTCCTCCCCCTTTTCTTCCTCCTTTCTGAGGCTGCGGCAGCTTGCCGGGCACTCACTCCCAGCTCCTCCGAGCGCTCCGCTCCCCTACCCTGCCTGCGCTTCTTGCTACGCTTGGCTCTCTCCTCTCCGCTGCACGCCTGCGAGGACATGGCACACGCGCGTGGAGGCTGTCCTAGCGCCCGGGGCTCCGGAGATGGCGAGACCGTCAGGTCCAGGAAGGTGGCGCTCATCACTGGTATCACAGGGCAGGTGAGTGAGGGCAAGACCCGTGCGCAGGCACGGCCCGGTCCTGGCAGTTCGCCGCCTGGCACGTGTGCCTGGGTTCTTTTTGCTCGGGCCGCCTGCCTCCAGGAACAGCAGTCTGAGCGTCCCGGAAGGTGTGTGTTGCCAGAGAGGTGGGAGAGAAAAGGTAGTTTATGGGGAGCATGTTGTTTTTGGAGTGTGCCGAATGCATCTGGTACCTCACTTGGGTGTGTGAGCGTCCTTTCTGCACGGGATGTGGTCCTCACACCCGTGCAAGGCTACCTTCTCTCACCTGCCGACAGGTGACCAGAGTGCTTGTTTCTCCAATCCCATGAGCGTGCTCTTGGGGTTTTGTGCCTTGCAGATCCGAGTACCTGGGAAGGGAGAAGGAAGGATTATCTGTAAATATGTGTGGAGGCATCTTGCTGTATCCCAGCGCTCGGGCCGCTTACCTGCTCATGGTTGGGAGGCAAGGAAGGGGATGCCTTGTTGCTTTGGTTCTTCCCCTCACCAGATTTCCAGATGGAAAGGAGGAAAGAAAAGAAAGTAGTGCTGTGGAGTCACAGAGTAGGAAATGTTGAAAACAAAACTCACAAAAACTTTTTTTTTTAAATCACACGAGCTTCTGAGATTCATCTTCGTATATTTGAAGTATATCTCATAGATTGCTCCAAACGTGAGGCTAGGATTCCATTTCCAAAGATATGAGGTACTTGAGTGAGATAATCAAGAAGAGCTGTTGGGTAGGTTGGAAATCTCTGGACAGGCTGACCTTGGCTAGTTTGTGATAGCCATCTGATGTGTGGCAACAGGTAGGGTCAGACCACTGTGTCTTATCAAACTGTGCTGTCTTAGAATCAGTGGTGATGAAATAATTTTGCTCATGTATTTCTGTAGAGAAAATGTGATGTCTGTGCACCTGGAGAGCTCCTGGTGGTGGCCAGTATTAAGTCTCCAAATCCTCTGCAATAAAGGTTTTAATGATAGCTTACACTATAGTGTGTATTAGGTTCCAGTCACTTGACTAATATTAACTCATTTAGCTCTCAACAACAATTCCTTGAGGGGGTACTTTTATTATCCCCACTTTACAGATGTGGCAGCTGAAGCCTGGGACATTTGCATAAGGTCATACAACTAGGAAGTATCCAGTTTGGACTCAGACCCAACTGTCTCCGGGATCTGAGTTCTCAACCATCATGCTATTCTGCCTCACAGGGGAAGACTAATATGTTGTGGACATAGAGATACTAAGTTAATTGATGTTAATTTAAGAAAACTTGGTCTTAACTGCAACTGAAAAGTAACAAATGAGAAGCACTGTCAGATAGTTACGGCAACTATTTTACCCAACTAAAAATCACCTCTTATGGTCTGCCAAGTACAGGTTCTTGAGGGAATGATGGATGGGACAATCTACCAAGATAAGGACTATCTTGAAAAATCAGGACCCATGTTGTTGTTGTCAAGTGCTGTCGAGTCAGTTCTGACTCAAACCAACCCTATGTACAACAGAACAAAACACTGCCAGATCCTGCACCATTCTCCACAGTCATTGTTATGCTTGAGCCCATTGTTGCAGCTACTGTGTCAGTCCATCTCCTTGAGGGTCTTCCTCTTTTTCACTGACCCTCTACTTTACCAGGCATGATGTCCTTCTCCAGGGACTGATCCCTACTGATAACACGTCCAAAGTATGTGAGACGTAGTCTCACCATCCTTCCTTCTAAGCAACATTCTGGCTATACTTTCTGCAAGACAGATTTGTTTGTTCTTTTGGCAGTCCATAGTATATTCAATATTCTTCACCAACACCATAATTCAAAGGTGTCAGGTGTTCTTCAGTCTTCTTTATTCACTGTCCAGCTTTTGCATGCATTTGAGGCAATTGAAAACACCATGACTTGAGTCAGGCGCACCTTAGTCTTCAAGGTGACATATTTGCTTTTTAACACTTTAGAGAGGTCTTTTGCAGGAGATTTGTCCAATGCAGTACATTGACCTGTGGTCACCATAAATACCAAATATGTCCAAAAATGTATTGGATTGGAATGAAGAAATTTGAGTTTAGCCATGGCGTTCCTACCATGTTATTTTGGGCCAGTCATTGAGCTTGTGCAGATTTTTGTCATATCATATAATCAATAGTGTTTATTGTCTGATATTCTTTGACTCTGTATATGGTCAATTTCAACTAATTTGGTTCTGGATATTCATGCATCTTGCTTTGTTTAAGATAATTACAGTAAACAGGTGTTTGAAAACTGTTAAGATGGATGTGGAGGGCAAAGATCTGAGCTTTAGGAAAAGAACTCTTAAATTCAGGCAGTACAGCAGTTCAGGGCCTGTATACTGGTCTCTCTGTTTCCTAGTGCTGGGGACCCTTCTGCAGATATCTCCCCTTTTCCTAATTTTCAGACTGGATTTCAAGCTCAAATTTACTAACCTCACATGATCTCTTGAAAGTAGAGATTTTTTTTTTTTTACTCTTGTCAATAAGTTAGGTAAGCAGTTAATTATTTAGGCATGTCGTATACCAACCTCAGTGACCAGCAGTATGAATCAGTGCAGGTTAGAGATGGAACCTTACTTAGAGCTTTGAGAGCAGTCATTTAGCTGGTACCGAGTGCCAGCAAGGAGTGTGAGGAAGTAGCCTCCCACTCCATTTTGCCTTCTAGGCTGCTACAGGAGACTTCTTAAGCACCATGTCTGTGGTGCAGCTCCCTGAACAGAATTGGCTCCACACCTGTATTAGTTTTCTAGGGCTGTGATAACAAAATACTACAACTTGGGTGGCTTCTAAGAACAGGATTTCTTGTGTCACAGTTCTGGAGGCTACTAGTCTGAATTCAGGATGTTGGCAGGACCATGTTCTCTCCTAGGGATCTAGGGGAAGATCCTGTCTTTTCTCTCCAGGCTTCTGGTAGCCCCACGTGCTCCTTGGTTTGCAGATGTAGCATGACTCTGTCTTCACATGGCCACACCCGCCCTACTCCTGCGTGAAAAACCAAACCAAGCTAGTTGCTTTTGAGTCCGTTCCAACTCATGGCGACCCCACATAATTCACAGTAGAACTGTTCTCAATTGGCCTCTATTCACCTGGAGCAACAGAGGAAGATGGAGAGTCAGGAATAGGAGGAGGATATGGAATGTGTGGCTAATTGCCTCCATGAACAACTGCCTCCTTTGCCATGAGACCAGAAGAACTGGATGGTGCCCAGCTACCATTACTGAACATTTAAAAAAAAAAAATTTTTTTTATTGTACTTTAGGTGTACTGAACATTTTGATCAAAGATTCCATGGAAAACTTGGCAGTCGATTGTCGATCTTCATAACCTGTGGCTCCTTTGGCCTGCCCGTCTAGGGTTTGCCAACCCCTGTGGCTACAAAAATCAGGAGAATTCTTTCCCACCTCACAGACTTGGGACTTTGCAACCTCTAAAAACTGTGTGAGCCATTTCTTTGATATAAATCTCTCTTATATATATATATATTTATATATACTCTTTACTGGATTTGCTTCTCTAGAGAACCCAGCCTAAGACATGTCTCTGTCGTACAACTTTAGCCAATCCAACTTTCTGCAGGTTTACAACTTATTGACAGATACTTACTATCAATTCTTGACATAGTAGTTGTGAACCTTTTTCCAAAGGGTTTTCTTTATTAACCACCTTTTCAGAAGACCAGGCTTTGGCTTTGCATTGCTGCTTCTAGGTCCTTTGCCAGTCATCCCCAAAGTTCACCTCTGTTGTCTAATAATGCTTGTTGTTCTTTCCTACACCCATGGAGATGTTGTTCTTTGAGTGCTATTGTGTTGACCTCTTTGGAGTTATTATTTTGTGGCTGAATGGCTTCACAAGTCTCATTTCTTTTATCTTGATCAAAAGCTTCAGTGTTCTCGGACCAACCCTGCTAAATGCAGCCAATCCAGGAAATTTCCTTGTATTTAAGCATACTGCCATTGAGTTGATACCAACTCACAGTGACCCTGTAGGACAGAGTGGAACTGCCTCATAGGGTTTCCAAGGCTGTAATCTTTATAGAAGCCAACTGCCACATCTTTCTCCTGTGGAGCAGCTGGTGAGTTCGAACTGCTGACGTTTTGGTTAGCAGCTGAGCACTTTAACCTCTGCACCACCAGGGCTCCTCTTCTTTTATATTTACATACATGCAGTTCCTGTTAGCTCTATAGGTAATTTGCGTATCTTCATTTCTTGGATTGTAAACTGCTTTAAGATAGAAACCTCATTTTCAGCCCACTACTTCCAGTGGGGCTTCACCTAGTGGGCTCCCAAAAATGTTTGCTTACTCTTTCTAGGAACAGAAGAAGTATTTACTGAGCATCTACAATGTGTGAGGTTTTTGCTTGAGATGCTGCTAGGGATATAAAGATGTGTAAGATATAGTGTCTGTCCACTGTGATCTCACAGTCTTTGAGGAGCTTAAGACAATGCATAGGACAATTCAGTGCATGTGAAAAAATTAGTATTGTACAACTGTGTTAGGGGCTAAATGCGTAGCTAGCTCATGCCACTTTGGGATTCTGGAATTGAATGCTCAAGAGTTCAGAGGAAGCCTTTCAGAGAGGGAAAAATAGAAGGGGCTGTGTTCTGGGTGGACAGCATAGACAGATGGGCAGAGAGATGAGAGTATTGGGGGACAATGAGGGCAAATATATAGTAATAATGGGAAAAAAATTCATTTATTAAATTACTTATACCCCTTGTCCACTTCCAAAGGGTCACTGGTGGTGCAGTGGTTAAAGCTCTTGGCTGCTAACTAAAAGGTCAGTGGTTTGAACCCACCAGCTGCTCTGTGGGAGAAAGATGTGGCAGTCTGCTTCTGTAAAGATTTACAGCCTTGGAAGTCCTATGGTGCAGTTCTACTCTGTCTTATAGGGTTATGACTCCACGGCAGTGGCTTTGATTTTGGTGGACCACTTCCAAAAAGGATTTTGAGGTGGCTTCAATAACAGACACACAATGGGACCATCATAAAAAG